GTCATATCCCCAGACTAAGAAACCCATTGGTAGTAAGTTGATATACTCAGTCAAACTTCAGTCTGATGGTTCTCTTGAACACTATAAGGCTCGATTGGTTGCTTTCGGTAATCTTCAAGAATATGAAATAGACTATGATGAGACATTTGTTCTCGTGGCTAAAATGACCACCATTCACATCTCGCTTGTCACTTCTCGATCTTGGTCTTTACATCATATGGATATAAAGAACGCATTCTTGCATGGAGATCTCAAGGACGACATTTATACGAAACTTTCTTCTGGTATGCTTATTCTCTCAGCTGGCACTGTATGTAAGCTAAAACGGTCTTTGTATGATCATAAGTAGGCCCTTCAAGCATGGTTTGACAGGTTTCGCCACACTCTCTTAGATTTTTCCTTTACTCGGAGTCAGTATGACGCATCTCTGTTCCTTTACAAGAATATTGCTGGCATCTTTTTTTGTTGGTATATCTGGATGATATTATTATCTTTGGATCTAATCACATCTTTATTCAAAAGCTTCAACAGCATCTTTGCTCGATTTTTCATATGAAAGACCCTGGTCATCTTAGTTATTTCCTTGGCTTGGAGGTTCATTCAGCATCTCATGGTATCTTCTTGAATGAACATAAGTATATTGAAGACTTGATTAGGTTATCTAATTTATATGAAGCCTCCTAAGTTAATACTCCGTTGGAGCTTAATATAAGATATTGAAAAGATGAAGGCGATATTCTTCCAGACGCTACTTTATATCGGGGGTGGGTGGGTAGTCTCATCTATCTCACCAATAGTTTGGATATTTCCTTCGCAGTGCATGCTGTAAACAAATTTATGGATTCTCGTATTCTTGATTTGGTAGCTGTCTGCTGCATTATTTGATACCTTATTTTAGGACTCATTGTAGCTTGTTCTTCCCTAGCTCTAAAGTTCATCGCTTATAGTGATGCTAGCTGTCTTGATTCTAGTCAATCTACAATTGGGTGGTTTATCTTTTTAGGTGATGCTCTCATTTCTTGGAAATGTAAGAAATATGATTGTGTTTTTAAGTCTTTCACTTAGGCTGAATATCGCGCTATGTCAGTTGTCTATTCTGAGATTGTGTGGTCTTCCAGGAGAACTTAAAGTTTCCCAATCACAGCCTGCACATTTTCATGGTGATAGTACTAGTGCTATTCAGATTGTGGTTAATCCAGTGTACCATGAACTACCAAACCTTTTGAAGTGGACTCTCATTACATTTGGGACGTCTATGATTTCAAGGTCATCGCTCATCCCCATTTTTCCACTACTCAACAGATCGCAGATATCTTCACTAAATCCTTGCCTTGCCTTTCCTTCGTCATAGTTTTCTCGTTAGCAAGTTGATACTTGTGGACTTACCATCATTAATTTGAAGGGGGTAACGTATTTTACAGATAAGTAGAGGATTCCATGTATAACTCGTATAGAATTGGTAGTTGCCATAGAATCAAGGATTTAATTTTGTATAGAAAAAATAATTTCTTTAATTTTCTCTAGAATATTCTATAAATTAAAGCAATACATACCAGAAAGAACATTCAGCCAGTTCTTGTCAGATACTATTATTGGATTGGTTTGATGGGTTGCTTGCAATATCTTTAGCCTTTGTCTTTTCTGGTAAATTCTTAGAAAGGGTGATCTTGGGTGGATAATACTTGATAGTTGCAAAGATGACTACAAGCATATTGTACTATTTATCTGATTTGATCATTGCAAAGATGACTACAAGCATATTGTACTATTTATCTGATTTGATCATTGCAAAGATTAGGGCTGGGCAAATCTCCCGAACCGAACCGAACCGAACCCGAACCCGACGGTTCTTGTCAAATTAAATACCCGAACGGGTATTTGAATTGAGAACCGACGGGTACGGTTTGATTCTCGGTTCTAAACCAAGAATCGAAGAACCGAATAAGAACCGAATCTTTCTATTTTTTTTTATATTGAGTAAATCAAATTATTTTAATTTTAATTTTAATTTTTTTTAAACAAATTAACAAATTAACGATTTCTAAATTCAAATTTTTGGCCCAATAATTTGTTTCATTTCTAATTTTTTAATTTTTGGCCCCATTACCCATTTTATTGTTTCATTTAGCCAAGCAAGATCAAATCCACAAAATAACCCTAAACACTAACACTAAAGTGCATAACATTATCTCGATTCTCGCACTCACCCTCGCAGCCTCACTAATATTCCAAAACCTATACAATCATCGGCCGACACTGTGACCTCCGATCGAAGCTGTGACCTTCACCAACTGAAACTTTGATTGTAACGATCATTTGAACAAGATAGTTTACTAGTCTCTGACATTCCAAAATCATTGAATGTATCATTAGTTGTATTTATATAATGTTATAAATGTTAAAAAAATTAATTATAGTATAGAACGGAACGGAACGGAACCCAAACGGTTCCATAATTATATTTGAACCCGACGGTTCTATTTACTAGATACCCGAAAAGTTCGGTTTGGTTCTCTTTAGAACCGAACCGAATTGACCTGCGCCCACCCTTAGCAAAGATGACAACAAGCATATTGTACTATTTATCTGATTTGATCATTGCAAAGATGACTACAAGCATATTGTACTATTTATCTGATTTGATCATTGCAAAGATTAGGGCTGGGCAAATCTCCCGAACCGAACCGAACCCGAACCCGACGGTTCTTGTCAAATTAAATACCCGAACGGGTATTTGAATTGAGAACCGACGGGTACGGTTTGATTCTCGGTTCTAAACCAAGAATCGAAGAACCGAATAAGAACCGAATCTTTCTATTTTTTTTTATATTGAGTAAATCAAATTATTTTAATTTTAATTTTAATTTTTTTTAAACAAATTAACAAATTAACGATTTCTAAATTCAAATTTTTGGCCCAATAATTTGTTTCATTTCTAATTTTTTAATTTTTGGCCCCATTACCCATTTTATTGTTTCATTTAGCCAAGCAAGATCAAATCCACAAAATAACCCTAAACACTAACACTAAAGTGCATAACATTATCTCGATTCTCGCACTCACCCTCGCAGCCTCACTAATATTCCAAAACCTATACAATCATCGGCCGACACTGTGACCTCCGATCGAAGCTGTGACCTTCACCAACTGAAACTTTGATTGTAACGATCATTTGAACAAGATAGTTTACTAGTCTCTGACATTCCAAAACCATTGAATGTATCATTAGTTGTATTTATATAATGTTATAAATGTTAAAAAAATTAATTATAGTATAGAACGGAACGGAACGGAACCCAAACGGTTCCATAATTATATTTGAACCCGACGGTTCTATTTACTAGATACCCGAAAAGTTCGGTTTGGTTCTCTTTAGAACCGAACCGAATCGACCTGCGCCCACCCTTAGCAAAGATGACAACAAGCATATTGTACTATTTATCTGATTTGATCATGATGCCATCTCATGTTTTATTCAATACTTACAGTTTGTTTATTTTCTTGGCCTTGGCATTAAAATATTTTATTGTTATCAGCTGGTCGATTTGGAATCCTATCAACTTTTCGTTTTGATTTGATAATGAAAGTGAAATTGCTGAGTACCACTTTATGTTGTTTTGAAATGTTCTACCCCAGCATAATACTAACTTAGATGCATTTGGAACTTAAATTATGCCTATTCTTGTGTTAGGGCTCATTTTGACATTTTAATTCAAACAAAATCTTCAGTTCATAAAACAGTTAGTCTCAGCCTTAATTGGCAACCATAGTGATTGGTGTCTGAACTGTTTATAGTTTCCAAGTATATTGAATGTATGAATTCACATGACTTCTTATTCTTAATAATTGATTGTGATGACTGCAACTGCTAGAAGTGAACTGGCCATAACAACGTGACTCTTTCATACTGGCTGGCTTTACTTGAAAATAATCTTTAACTTGGTTTGAAGTTAATTCATTTTCTAAAGCTTGAACAGTTTAAAATCCTATGTGATGCAGGAAAAAATCCAGAGTGGGCTGGGGAATAGAGATTTTCACAAGATTAATGTAGATAGTGATGGTACTTAACCACTGATTATGGAGTATTAGTCCATTAAATGGTCCATCCATGTGTGCGTACTTTTGCTTCTTACATATTGTTTAATAATCTGTAGAGTGATGATACGCGAAACTTTTTCAAATTTAGGTTATAGTAAGCACAGTTGCCATTGAGCTTTATGCATAGATAACTATTTATGGGTTCTTTATAGCATAAACTGTCAAGTAATTTTTTCTTGTAATTAAAATTTAAAGGTATAAGTAATTTTTTTACTTAAAGTAAATTATACAGTTAAAAGTTAGTTTTGTACTTAAAATAATTTTTTACACCTAAATAAATTTTGTACTTATAAGTAACATTTTAGTTTTTATATTTTATAAGTGAATTTTTGTATTAATAGTATTTTTTTTTTTTTAACAAGCAATTTTTAAGACACAAGTGAAATTTTTAGTTATAAAGTAATTTTTTGCTTATAAATAATTTTTTAGCTATTGTATTTTTATTACAAGTTAGTTTTGAACAAAATACATGGGTTGGGAATAATTGTTTTATAAGTGGTAAAATTGTTATTTATGCGCAGTACAATACTATGACATAAGGTTAGATCAATTTAAAAAAAAGCTCTTCTTTATGAAATCAGGAAATTTGGGGTGTTATTCGAGTACATTCTCCTAGTGCTCTTGGTGAAATTTGCTGGAATTAGTGCCCATGAATCTTAGTGATAGTGTTCGATTCTGTGTGTTAAAACCAGAATAAAATGAAGTTTACTTTTGTGTGCTTATGAGAGTATGTTGTTACTTTTCCACTGGATAGCCTCTTGTACATAATATTGTGGTGTAAAGCTTTTAGCCTCTCTCTCTCTCTCTATCCTCATTTTTTTTGGTTATGAATTTTGATATTTTATGAAACCATTGGCCATGTAAAACTGCGTATAACCTTCTTAATATTTTATCATTTCCAGGAAGTTCTTAGAATAAAAAATGAACATCCAGATGACAGCAATTGTATCGTCAATGATAGAGTTAAGGGTCGTCTTAAAGTTACTCGTGCATTTGGGGCTGGCTTCCTCAAACAGGTTTGTCCATTAATTGCCAGCATTGTTAATTCTGTTCATGTTTGTCATCTGTGTCTGTGCGTGCATGTGTACTGGCACATTTATGTGCATATTGAGTTTTATTGAAGGGATAACATGCATTTAGAATTTATCCAAAATTCTCAAGACAGAGTATATACCTTCCTGAAGAGCTTTATGACTGAATCATATCTTAATAAGTCATATGGTCTTTATCTTCATTCTATCAATTTTCCCAAACTTGAAACTCTCCGTGTGCTTTTGGTTCTTTAAATAAAAAAAATAAGTTGCTTGATTATTTTTGACGCTGAAAGTTGGTTATCTGGAACCTTGGTTTCATTGTATCATAATTGCAATGTACCATGGAAGTGTAGTACACATTTCGTATGTCCCATCGATTACGTTATCGATATACACTACGACCTTCATTCAGCTAACTTTACCATGTTTAACGTTGGTAATATAATCTGCATGTGTTTGCTGCTATTTGATTATTGATGTTTGTTAATTAATTTCCATCTTTTATCTGTTGTACTTATATGATGTATTGTCATGATTCAAGCATACATTTATTTTACCAACGTTAAATGCTTCCCATTACATTGAGACATGAATGTTTTTGTTTTTTGTGCGTACCGTGCTGGTTTCCTAATGCTTTATGATGCGTGTTGACGCAGCCTAAATGGAATGATGCCTTGTTGGGAATGTTTCGGAATGAGTATATTGGTACTGCGGCTTACATATCTTGTTCTCCTTCTCTTTGCCACCATAAGCTGTGTCCCATGGATCAATTTTTGGTGCTTTCATCTGATGGTTTGTATCAGTATTTTAGCAATCAAGAGGTTGTTAGCCGTGTCGCGAATCTTATGGAAAAGTTTCCCGATGGTGACCCGGCTCAACACCTGATAGAGGAGCTTCTCTTCCGTGCAGCCAAAAAAGCTGGTAACTTTTTTTTTTTTTTTTTTTTTTTTTACCTTGGAAGTAGTTGAATATTTTTGGGTGAAGACTTTCAGCTAAAATATTTGTGTTCCATAAATTATACTTGTACCGAGTTTATGTCAAGTTGTCATTTGAAACTTTGGTCCTGAGATTTCGTCCATTTTGTCCTCTCTTATTCATTAAATTTGCACGTTCACTATGCCGTTGTTTGTTACATTATAGTCGGAGATGAGAGACCTTAACTGGTTGTCAAGAATTAGGACTCTGTATTCATGGAGGGCTTGAATGCTAGGATATTGATACTGGGTGCACATATGTTTGACATTAATGAAATATGTCACTATGTGGAGACCTATTTGCATTGCTAGATGATGCACCAGTGCCCCGTCCTATTCTTCATACACCTGGTATAGTTGATTGATTGTTTTCTTAGTCCTTGAGTGTATTATATTTTACTATTTTCTCGAGAACTTGAGTGCCAGGTTATGTAACCTAATTAGGTCACTTAGGGATGAAGATCCTGGGAGAACATCTATCTCTTGTTTTGGGGGTGTGGGGACAAGGAAACTGGGGAATTCTGACTTGGAATTTACAGTTAGTATCTGCCTGTTTATTTCAAATGATTTGTGAGTCCGTTGATATAACATGAAAAAAAATTCTGCAAAATACTCTTTATAGTATCTAATTGTGTTTATTTTCAACTGACATCAATGTGAGCAAAAGCGTTGAGATTTGTTCACTTTGGGCTTTCTCAATTCAACATTGGCTTTTCTTTCTCTGTTAAATAAAATTTGGGCATTTTACTTGTCATGTTTGGAGCAATCATAATCTAATACTGAAAATCTACAATATTTTGTCCAATATTGTTGTTAAAATGTCTCAAGAGAGTGGGAGAGAGGCTTTTGAAACTGTGAATTCTACATAGACATAAATGCAGGCTGATGTTGGGACGGTTGTTGGGACTATGATGTTTTGATGATGTGAAGGCGGTGTTCTGATAGAGAAATAGAAGTGAGGATTCAATAGTAGTATTTTAGCACTTCACTGTGGGATGGACTGCTTTCAGGCATGGCAGATGTCCATACCCATAAGGGGGACGACAACAAGATATCTGACAACTGTGTATGCAACACTTTTGTGAAATAAACATACAGACATAGACAAGGAGTACCAGATTATATACGAATTTATCCGCATGGATTTCCTGATCTTGACTTGGTCTATAGACCAGATACTAATATTCAAATTTACTGTTTTAAGTTTGTTGGTTCAACATTTGAATCTTTTCCTGCTTGGGCCACCTCTTGGGAGTTAGTTGGGAAGATATTTCCCCCGTCTTCATTTACTTCTCTACTATATCTCAAACTTGCCTTCTTATTTTTGATTCTAGGTCTATATATATTGATTGGTTATTGAATGAGACAATCTTCGTCTTTTATTGGCCTGCGTATTCTGAATCAAATTGATTTTTGTAGGAATGGATTTTCATGAGCTGCTGGACATTCCACAAGGAGACCACCGCAGGAAGTACCATGATGATGTTACGGTTATGGTTGTATCTCTCGAGGGAAGAATCTGGAAGTCGTCCGGAAAATACATATGACAACTCATTGCGGGCAACATCTCGATGCACAGACAGCTGGATTCTTGTTTCGATCCCCACCTAAAGTAGGCGCAAGCAGCTTAGAGACTCGAAGAGATACCCGCTTTCATGGGTTCATAGACTTTCATATCAAACAAAGCATGCTGCAGTTGTAGGGAAGAAATCCTACATTACAAGGGGCAAGGACTCAGATATAATGCTCAAGCAACTGCGGAAAAATGTTTTCAGGAATAGAAAAATTTTGTAGTTGGGAGTGGTAAAAATGGTATCTTCTCTTTGCAGATATGAGGGTCTTTTAATTCATTTGTTCTTCATTCTGCTTTTGATTTTAGAACTAGAAAGTATGGTTGGGGGGGTTCAGTTACAGAGCTTGACATCTGGCTTTGTCGAAGGTGAGAGAATCCACAATGTAATTTTGAAGGTGGATTTCCACCCATTCGGTTTATAAAGAAACTATTCAATTGAAAATCATGTGCTATTATTCCCTTTTAAGTTTGATTTCTACTGATGCAATTTATATAATTGTTTTAAGACTTGGACTGGTTCAGTGGTTCAACTGGAAAACCAATAACCAGGCCATCTATCTGGTTCACCAGCCTGCAATTGTCATGGTGACCAATCACCTCATCTGGGTCACTGCCTGCTAAGGCTTATATAACAAACATTAAATTGAACGTATAACCAAACCAAAGGCCAACGCCTCATGTCCCGGCCACACAGGCCTGGGATTTCTAGCCAAAACCAAAAAGGTTGATCTCATGATCCCAGTGGACGAGATAAAAAATTCATATTGTTGATATGATAAGAGAATTTTAATTCTGATTTTTTGCACAGGATAAAAATTTCTTACAATTGTTGTTTCAAGAGAAACTTATTTATGATTTGTTACATCAACAGTAAGAAATTTTTATTATGCTCACTAAAAATAGGAGACCAATTTCAACCAAGAAGGTTGATCTTCTGATAATCATAAGTAATGTTTTCTTGTCACGTCAACAATTATCTAGTTCCCCAATCAATTTCAACCAAACTAATATGATGCGTTAATGGATGAATCTAGTCAGTATTAATAGGAACTTTTAGTTAATCTATAATATAAATTATAATGTAGTTCTACAAGTCTTACAACAACTCAACACAAAAGTTCTAAACATTGTTTCAGTTCAAAAATACAATTTGAGTTATGCTGTGGTGACAATTGAACAACCTTTTGATTGCACCCATGATATTAGATCTTCTCGAGTTGCAATGAAAAAACCAGCCTTTTCCTCACTCTCCCTAAAAGGAGCAGCAAATTTCTCCACATGGGAAGCAAAGGCAGTGGCTAAACCTTGAGAGAACTTGTGAGTTCCAGTTCCAGTGTTGGCAGAAAACACTGCCGGCAATGTCTCTTGGCGTTGGACGATTTTCGCTAGACTACTCATCCATTCTTCAAAGGCAGTGTGTGCTGCACCGACTGACAGTGACCGGACATTGAGCCGCCACTCCTGAGCGGTCTTGGAATGCAAACCAGGATACAATCCATAGATGATACCCACATACAGGAGCTCATGAGCTCTTTCGTTGAGATTTCTGTTTCGGCATATATCAATCAAACAATTACAGAAGGGTCTCCTGGACTCGACCGCTGTGTTAGTGAGTACAATTCTGAACTCTTCTTTCACAATGTCTAAGTTAGTGCTCTTTTCGTCGAGCAGCTTCACAAAGGCAACCAATTTTGGGTTAGCTTGCTCTAAACAGACCAAGACCTTGTTCATATCCTCACCTTGACAATATGATAAAATGGAGAGCAAGCACCCACATAACCTATCGTCGGGTTTTACTCCTCCATTTACTGAGGTCTCAAAAACCCGAACCAAATCATCGATTTTCTTGGCTCTCCCCAAGCATTGAATCAAACAAGTACATCCCATGACATTGAGATCAACACCTAACTTAGACATTTCCTTGAACAAAGCCATTGCCTTTCCAACTTTTCCTCCACTCCCATATATATTAAGCATTGCTGTGTAGCTCCAACAATCAGGTCTACATTTCTCTGATCCCTTCATCTCCTCAAACAGCTTCTCAGCCTCTTCCTCTAACCCAAGATCAGCACACATACTCAACAATGTATTATACAAAATGAAATCCATTGGCCAACCATTTGACCTCATTCGTTCCCAAAGCTCCAATGCATCTCTAGCCCACCTAGCTTTACCATAAATCTTGATTAATGCGGTCAATGTCTTTTCATCTGGTACAATCCCTGAATCCGCCATCTCCTCAAATAAGCTCCTAGCCAAGCCGGGCTTCCCGGCCTTGCCCATTGCCTCCAACAACGTGTTGTATACAACCAAATTGGGTCGAACCCCAAGTGACTTCATCTCTTCCAATACATACCTAATGCCATCATAATCTCCTGCCTCACCAAACATCTTTCCCAAAACCGCGAAAGCAATGGGGTCGGGCTTCCAACCGCTTGCTCTTCCTCTCTCATACAAACTCATCACCTCCTCAACTTTACCCAATTTAGCATACACATCAAGAATAGCAGAGTAGGTGACCTCATCTGGCATCAATCCAGTCTTATACATTCTCTCAAACCACTCCACTGCCTTATCAAAAAGATTGGACCTTTTTGCACACGTAATTATAGTCGAATAAGTAATATTATCAAGCTCAATCCCATTTTCTATCATCTCAAATGCAAGGCTCTCAATGTGCTGAAACTGTCTCCCAAACCTCAGAGACTTCATGGTCACATTATAAAATATTGTTTCCATTGGAAACAAATTCTGGGCCTTTACCCATTTGAAGAAAAGAAGAGTCTTCTGCCACGGCCTTAAGGTGTTTAACACCAAAAGTGCATTTTCTCTAGTGGGAGGGTGAGGGATTTCTTCAAGTACAGCCAAGAAAGCTTCCTCAGAGGAGCCACACTCATTAACCTTCTTGGCAAAAAACCTTAGGTCTTTGATTTGGGAATTATATGAATAAGAAGAGCGCTTATGGCGTTGTAACGAAAGCACAGCAAGCTTAGGCTTGGCAGGGTTGACCCAAGTGGACTTAGGCTTAGATAAGAGCTGATGGGGTTGGTTTGGTAGGTCAGAAATAATAACTGTGGATAGGGGCTTAAGCTGCTCAGACAAAGACGGATTTTTATGCTCTTGAAACTCCAATTCTGCAGTATTTGGCGAATCTTTCTTGGAGGAATTGCAAAAAATGGTGAATTGTTTTTTGTTGGGAAGTTTGTGAAGGGAGGTGAAGTGAAGTGGGTGATTATGCTTCGTGTCTAAAGGGTGATATGATGTATTATTACAGTGAAGGTCTAAAGGTATGGTGAGTTTTGCAGCAGCCATGGAGGGAGCCCAATGAAAAATGGAGAAGAGGATTAAAGATTTTGAATGATGGAAATATCTATTCCATGCTGAGGAAATGTGAGGTGATTTTCTTGGGGATCTTATCTAATAAAAGCCCCAAGGGCGGATTTTAGAGGTAGTAGTAATTGCAAGAGAACATTTGCAGGGACGAGAAGGGAGAACCATATAAATACGAGGACGAACTGTGCAAGATGTTAGGTCAAGCAAAATTTAGGGTGTCTTTGAGTTGAATTCTTTTTAATGAATGTATTTTGAAATAACAGATTGATAGAAAATGTGTGGTTAAAAAAGAAAAAAATATTTTTTATTTACGTATAATATTATTTTAATGTTGAATATGTGGTTGAAAAAAGAGAGAAAAATATATTTTAGGAAAAATAATAATCAAACACTCCCTTAAATTAATCTAATAAGTATTTTGATTTTTTACTTATTTAGCCTTGTTTGAGCTCCATTTTAATTTAATGCATTTTTCTCTTATTTTCAATCATACGTTTTTCAATAAAATAATATTGCATGTAAATTTAATTTTTTTAACCACACATTCTTTAAAAAAATATTATTCTAAAATATATTTTTCAAAAAAAAAAAAAAATTTAATGGAGCCTAAACAAGGGCTTAATCACTAAAAGTTTTAAAACGTCATGTAATTTGTCACTTATTAGTGAAATCCACCCCATATTTGACATGGTACTATCAAACAGAGTTAGATTTTTCATTTTTCATTAAACTTATATCTTTGTCACGCTTAAATCATTAAACTTTAAAATATTTTTGAGTGATCACTGAATTTTAACATGTTGTGTTTCATCACTCACTCACCGTGTTTCGTAAGTCACTATACTTTAAAATACTTTTGAGTGATCATTGTACTTTAATACGTTGCACTTCATCATTTAACATATTTCGTTAGTCGCTGATCTTATACCTTTATCACTCTTTATTTACTAAACTTTAAAATATTTTTGAGTTGTCATTGAACCTCATAATTTTTTCGAATGAAGTTGACTAGCTATGAAATTCGACTTCAATTAAGAAAATAAAATAAAATAAATATCGACTAAATAATGAGACTCAATATACGACAAAAATATTGATATTGGTAAAAATATATATATAATTTTTCTAGTCGTCAAAAGTTATGTTCAAGGGAAAAAAGAATGCTGACTTCAAATTGACATAAATCTTAATTTAGATCATAATCTTTCCCGTAGAAAATAAAATAGAAAAATAATTTATTTATTTCGATTGAAATCGTAGACCCAAATCAAGAAAAAAATTATATCTCAAACAAGTAGTTAAATTTTTTATTTTGAGTCAATAACATTAATCAAAACTAACAAAATATAATTTATAGAGTTGTAACAGTGTAATTCTAGGGGAAAGAAGGACATGGTCTTCATGTATGACATTTTATATTTCAAAATTCTTAGTTTTGAAGAGTTGACTTAAGTGAGTAAACGTGTGTGGATGTATAAGTTCAGCGACTAATGAAACATGGTGATTAAGTTATGTAATGCAATATTTTGAATTTCCATGACCACTTGAAAATATTTTAAAGTTTAGCGACTATTAAAACATGTTGAATGAGTGATGGAGTCCAACGTGTTAAAGTTCGGTGAGTAAGGTGTGATAGAAGTGTATAAGTTCAATTACTAAAGAAACAGTTAAATCTATTTAACATTTAACATGGACTAATGGTTCTTCGATTTGTATTCACGCAAGAAGTCTCCTTATCGATTTCCAAAACAAATCTTAATTCTTGAGAGAGAACGACTTAAAATTTTCATTTATTCATTTTCAACTACACATTCTCCCATAAAATAATTTTACACGTAAATCTTTTTTTTTTTTTTAACTATACATTTTTTAACAAAAAACTATTTCAAAATGCATTTTGGCCCAAAAATAGGACTAAATAGGCACTTAATGTTGACACTATCCTTCACCATTTATGTACTCTTGAAAAGGGTGAAATTGTCTAATAATTACAACGTCGGATATGATATGTAAGGATGACAATATTGCCAACCTCAATATGCCTCACCCTGAATAGGTACATACTACATTGAAGGAATCATTATCCTGTTAGGTAAACAGGTTGGGGACTAGGAACATGATGCCCTCTCCAAATTCCTTAAACCAACTCCAATCTTTTTATTTATTTTATTTTTATGTTTTTCATTTATATTGTATTTAAAAAAAATGAAAATAATAGTCCCTTCGTCTTATAAACATACACTTACTTTCGTTTTCATACTTCATTTATTCCATAAAGATAACCTTACTTTCTTTTTTCGTATATCTCAAATTATATGCCACTTTTCTTGTTGAAAGTATAATTGATCCCTTAATTTTCTAATATGTGTTGTAAATATAGTCGTATTTACGAATAACTTTTATATCCTTGCAGCCCTAGTCATTTATAAATATGAGGTTTTGATTCTTAATAAAATACAAAAAAAAATTCATTGGTTTCTCCTTTATTCTCCTTTTTCCTCTCTAGTTTATAAAGTGTTGTCAGCACGAAAACTAAATTTTCAAAGTTTGATGAAGGTAATAATTTTTTTAAGCATAATCACTAATCATGTGTACCGATATTAATTTGGTGACGCACGAATATAATTAACATTATGTTATTTATGCAATCACCTGTCAGCATATATGCAGGGGCAGATTTGTGGGTGGCGAGTTAGGGCGGCCGTCCTAGCTGGATTCGTCGAGGAGAATTTTTTTGATTAATAATAGATAGAATTTTTAGATTATATATTTGACAAATCATATTAACAACAAATATATTTGGTAGCTTAATTGGTTAACCCTTCCATTGTTGAATTGGAGGTCTAATGTTCGAAATTTTTCAAGAGCAATATTTTTTATAATTTTTGTATTTTGACAATTTTTACCAAAACAAATGCAAGAAAAGTGATTTGAACCTGCTACCTCCTTAAACATATTGATCATTTTACCATCATGACATTTATTGATTTTTAGCACGTAATGTAACAAAATAATACATGCTCAATTTTACTAGTTTAATGCAAGTAGAAATATTTTAATCGGTGCTTTGTCGCTCTTCTTGATTTTCTTTTTCTTTTCTTTTTTTCCCTCTAATGAATTGATTTGAGAGTTCAATCAATTAATGGTGGATGAATTTATAAGAAAATTGGCCTTAATGTCATAAGGAATCTTTCAACAAATCTTATTTAATTAATGAAAGGTTCCACTTTTCGTTCACAAAAAATCAATTGGGAAAAAGTAAAATCATACAAGCATATAAAATTGATATAAGCACATAAATAATTTCAATATTGTTAATATAATAATGCTAGTTTAATTAACTTTAATTATAAATTGAATATTGACATTTTGTTAATATATATTGTCAATTTAATTGAAAAATAAATTAGGATATTTTACAAATTATGAAACAATTTTTCATTCAAAATGAAAGTTTGTAGCTAGTTCTAGTTTTAGTGATGTATCTAGTTTTAATTCATACGATTTTTTGAATATTATTTAATTAAATATTAATAAAAAACCTTGTCATTACGGACGTTGGCCGTCGATAGTAAACTTTCAACGCTCATGATCCACGCTAGCTAAACTCGACCCTGGATTTGCCCCTACATTTATGTTCGACATTAGCTCCTCTCAAATTGGTCTATGTAGTTGATAGAATTGTATGCAATTTCTTGAGTGGAGGAATTCGTGTCAATTTGTATTCACCAGCATATATGTGCGTGTTCTTCATCAATCGTATATTTTGTGTCTTTACGTGGCCCAATTATCAATGAGCACTAATTTGACCATTCTGTAATTTGACTAATAAGTTTTTCTTAGTGGTTTGACCATATAATCACCATTCGTTGTACAGAAGAGATATTTTATTATCATTTTTTTTATTATCAATTTTTTTATTATCATTTTTTTTAATTATCATTTTTTTTCTGTTTAGCAATCAAACATTAATTATTGAATTCATTCTTAATTGTTATTGTTCCTGAAATAGCACAACATATTTCCGAAAAATATTACTCACTCCTGAAATGTATAAATTATAATTTTCGATATTCCAGAAAAATATTGATCTATTACTCTTGAAGAAGTAATAATAAAATATAAATTGCTCTCAAATAAATATGTCTTGAAGAATATGAATATATATATATATATATGGGATATTTGAGAGTCATTTTTATATAAAAATGCATTTTAGAATAGTAACTTGATGGGAAGTGTGTGATTGAAAAATAAGGATTTTTTTTATTTACGTGTAATATTATTTTAATAAAGAATGTATGGCTGAAAAAAAGAGAGAAAAAATGTATTTTGAAAAAAATGGGTACCAAACAAGGGCATAAAGGATTTTCTTGAGGCTGCAAAAAAGATTTTCCTCACTTTTGAAGTATTCATATCCTTGACGAGTGAGACTGGGTAAAATATTTTCCTCAATGCCAAAGAATATAAACAATGTTTGAAACCATTTTGGAAAAACAGGATTACAAGATTGATGGAACAAAATAAACCAAGAATGAGTAACTGATCTAATAAAGAAAACATTGAACCATGCAGTCTTATAATCAAGATAGTTAAAACGTTCAAATTTACCATTAGGTAAATTTACTGTTTTCTCCCCAATGTTTCTAAAATTTAAACATTATCTATCAAAAATAAAAAAGCACACATCAATTTACTTTCAAAGAAATCAATTGAATCCCACAGGAAGAAATTTAAATATCTTCATGTTGGATTAGTTCAAATTGCTATCAAACCTTTGTTTAGACTTGGGTTAGACATTCCTATTCTCTTAACTCTTCGAGATAAGAGACTTCTCAAATTCGAAAATTCATTATTATCCGTTCTAAAATCAAATCTAGAAAGTGGTACAATTTATTCAATTTGTTATCCTAATTTTTCAATCAATCTCAACGATGGATCAATTCTTAATGCTCTAAATTTCCATATTCAAACGAAAAATCTTGATTTTGATAATCGTTCAAATCCTTTTGCTGTAATATACATGATATATTACAAGCTCATGAATACTCAACTCTATATTGGTGCTTTACGTTCATCCCTGAAAGATGAAAGTCTTTTGGTTGAATATAATCACTTTCATTCAAAAACATGATTTCCAAGATGTGTGTGCGTGTGTGTGTGTGAAGGGAAAATATATAACTTATGCTTCGTGAAAATTGAATCTTATATGATTAATATTATAGTTAAATCATATTATCGAGAATTACTTATATCTTTTGTTTGATTGAATAGTTATTCAAATTTCAAACATTATATTGAGCCAAAAGTTCTATTTGACTTTATTGTTTGGCATGAATAGTTGGACTATCACCGGATCAATAATTATGTGGAATTAAAAATTCAAATGGATATTCAATAAATAAAATCCTATATGATATTTGTTCTCTTCTACAAGAATTTTCATTAGTTATTACCAGTTAAAATATGGACTAAATTCTTTATATTTTCGACAATTAATTAGGGTGATAAATAGGTCCATCATCCTCCACTTAACCATCTAAATTTGTATATTATAGATTTGATACATCTACTAGATAATTGCATTGTGTTCATGACCCGAAGTTTGCGAAATTGCTCCTCAAATAATGAGCATAATTTTCAGATTATACAATTAAGACGGACCGTCTTATTAATGCTAGTGATCTTAGATCTCAATCTTTTAATAAGTGTTAGTTAGAATGTCGATAAATGATTTAATATTATTGTTTGTAAAATACTTTCAATTAATTTAATTGAGAACAAAGTACTTCACATTTTTGTTTAAAGAATGCTATTTATGCATCATGCCAGCATCACAATTTTCCCGTTGTAATTGGCTTTGATTTTCCACCATTCGTAGAAGGTATAAAAGAAAGAAGTGGCAGTCAGGCATATGTATACTTGGTCTAATTTTCCACCTACTTAATTTTAGTTTTTAATTAATACACAATTAAATGACACTTAAATTTTGCTTTGATGAAGATAAACTCAAGCACGTATGAAGATGGATGGATGATCAATGTGAAGACCACTAATACTTTAGAATTAGTCTCCTTAATGGGTGCAAAAGAGTACACTAAATCTGTGAATTAATGTATTCAAAATGAAAGGTTCCAAGGGTTGTGATAGAACATGTACACTGAATATAGTTCAAAAACATACAATGAAAAAATAGTAGAGAATCTGTATAACTTGTCTGTCTAGATTACATAGAGAAACCCACGATTTCAGTGTTTCAATAAACAATAAAATGAAAGACTCTACTCTTATTTCGCAATCAAACTATTAAGGAAAAAAAATATCTTTAAAAAAATTATGACAAAAACTTTACATATGATTAACAGATGGATCGGTGTAACCAAAAGACAAGCACACAATTATCCATTCACTACAATGGTAATCAATAAGCATTTAGCATTAAGACAATGGTGTTGTGTCATCTTTCAACCTTCAATCCGGAAAATATATATCAGGATGTACTGCTGCAGTAGAGAAATTAAGAGCTCTATGAAGCTTGCGATGATCAAAGATTTCAACTTCGACCAGGAATATTGAACTCACAGGCCGGTGATCTGACAGTCTTATATTTGCTTGCTTATAAGAAAGCTGTTTTATGCCTTTTCCTAACCATAATACACGGTCACACCTGCACATATTCAATATCTTGTAATAAGTAGCCGAGTATGATCAAACATATACGGTAGTAGAATTCAAACGTATAAGCATGGTACACTTCCGGCTTGTTTGGTATAATGAACTGGATTAACAGAAGACGTGAAGCAGGGACAGGAGTACAAGGAAAGAGACTGCATTGGGACAGGAGTACAAGGAAAGAGACTGCATTGTGCAGCAGAAATTTTTGAAGTATAGGGTGAATTCATTGTGATCCAGAAGTAAATTTATTACTCCCTTTCACTAAGTCAAGTGAAGGACGGCATAGTTCTTAATACTATGAAAACTTAACTCAAAAAAACAGTTGCATTCTCCAGCAACATTGATGCATAGATGAGCAGAAATAACAGACATTTCGCTCAGCACCCCAATTGGCGAACTCTTTAGTGTTTACAATAACAGTGTGCATTTAGAGTAAGGATCCAGCAACAGTCTCACTTACCATGCAGGGGATCTCTTCTTCTCTCCTTCTTTTGGGTTTTCCCCAGCATATCTATCAGAGTTGATTTCATACTTGTAAGTTGGAGCGAAGTTTATTACCCCTTCTTTCCACCCATCGAATGCATGCCCACTTCTTAATTCTTTGATTAACTGCCATCATCAATAGTCTTCTTCAAATTCAAATATATATATATATATATATATATATATA